GATTCAGCCCGGGATGCCGCGAGATTAGCTTCCTTAAGGGCCTTGAGAACAGCTGTACGCATCGCTCTCTCCGATGCACATCCTTTTCCTGCACTCGTGACAGGAAATGCAGATGGATACTTCAGTCCCAACTCCGATTCGCCAGGCACCTGCGTCTGTATTGCTGCTACTAACATAATTTCTGCGGTGCGCGCAGCTGCCGCAGCTGCTTTTGCTTCCCGAAGCGCAACTCCACCATCATCTTCAAAATGCGCTCGACACACACTGCTGCTTGCGATCCCTCGAAACTGGCGGCAAATGGACTGCGCTGCATTATGAATTGCGTCGTCTGCATTGAGAGCACAACAACACTTTCTCATGCAACTGTGCAAAAATAGAGCCACGAACACGGCGATTCTGAAATATGCACAGCAAGAGAGCTAAATCTAATCCATGCTTGGCGGGGGCATCGCCGCGAGACTTCTCGAAGTCTCAGCTTACCATCGAAACACTCAGCGACGGGAAAAAAGAAACTTGGGTCGCCATCGCAGGGACAAAACCACCAAGTGCTGTGCTCATCAGCTGATCCTTTGTGTCCCCCTCCTTCAAGGGCGTCGGGCACTTCGTGGTGTGCTCCATGTGTAGGTTCCCGTACAGCAGTAGGGTGGTTCGGCGGTTGTAGGTTCCTACCGGAATTATTCGTGACTGGCGTGCGCCCTGCTTGAACCAACCCTTCGCCAACGACTGCGCACAGACCCACCGAACTCCTCAGTGATTCAGCATCTGCAGATATTTCGGTCGGCCAAATGAAGTAAGAGAGGCCAGGAATGCATGTATATGCCTGGTAATCTTCATTTCGGTGTATGGTTGAAGCCCATACAAAACGCAGTATATAATGCCAGTTCTTACTCGGATCACCTGCAGCTTCATCCCCTGTACCTTGTTGAAGACTGGACGGTCTTATTTGNGCCAGTTCTTACTCGGATCACCTGCAGCTTCATCCCCTGTACCTTGTTGAAGACTGGACGGTCTTATTTGCGTACTGTCCCTGCTACGCTGAAGCACATCATCACTTCCTTCCTGAGTCACCGCTGGCTCGGTGGCAGATGGAGCTTCGCTGGATCCCTGCGTGTCAGAGAGTCTGGGCACAGCTGGGAGTGTATTTGCTTGATCAGCTGCAGAGACACTGTCCCTCCTGCACGTCCTTGCGCCAACTGAAGGATCGTGCAAGCTGACCGGCATGGAAGTCAAACCGGCATCTCCTTGCAGTGGGTGACAATCTGTGGCTAATGAGAGAAGTGGAGAACTCCCATGACTGAGTATACCGTTGCGCACTTCTGCACCACTTTTTGCCACCATAAGAACGCACCCGCTATTCGGGTGGGCGGCTAGTGACAGGCTGATGACTGCACTTTGGGTAATTCCTCGACCAAAGCGCAGAACCACCGCTCTGGCAACAGGTTCCTTAGTATCCAAACAGAAAATCATTCCTGTAGAGCAGTGATAAAGCATATGGAGTTNCTTACCTCTTTCCTCAACAGGTGAAAGGAACTTGCTACGCGCTATTGTGAAGAAGCAGCGGCCTTCACCATCGATGCAGCAGTTGTTGACTTCCCAATCTTCTCCTCGAGATGCGACAAATTCTTGTAGACGTCCTGCTGCACACAACCTATCTGAGTATTGCTCAACTGGACTGTGTAACCAGTCATGCATGCTCTTCAGGTTCTCCCATGCTTGGGTGCTAGCATCGTCTGAACCAAGGGACTCGAGCTCTTGTTCCTCTTCAGCAGCGTCCTCACAGTTCGGTGTCCTGTCCAGACATCTTCTTGCAACAGCATCTGGACCACTAGGGAGAGTGTCCTCGTCATGGCCCATTTCACGGCAAAATTGTCGAACACTATATATTCGGCGGATAGGAGGGGAGCCTCCTTGGCGCCCACTACCGTCACCCTCCCGCAAAATGTTTGGAGATGAGGTGGGTGTGGCTGTTCCTGCAGAATTGGATCCCAGGGAGCTACGTACACGCAGACG